TCTGACAGGGCCTCAAGTTGCATTTCCTAAATCCTGCACAGATACAAACCACTAAAGCTTTCCTAAATCTGAATGCCTCTCAAAAACTCTGCTTGCTAGCCTGAATCCATGTCAGATATGTTTTCCTTCTTCAGAAAACTTCATGTTTGTGTCAGTGAATTCCCTGAAAGACAGATGTGTCTCCACATAACTCAGGAATTCTGCTGAAAGCTGAAGAGGTGCTGGCACACAGCCTGCCCACAGCCCTCTTCTGTCACAGGGCATAGACTGACTGACTTCAGCTTGTGACCTTTCCAAAGCCTCTCTGAAAAGCTGTGTGAACCTATGTATCTGCAAAACTGCCAACGCTTAAAAATGGAATTTCCAAGTGTCTGGGGTTACAGCCTCATGTCAGCACAAGGCCTTTATGCCAGGCTGGTGGAGCAAAACCACTACAAATTTCCATTAACTGTTTCTTAACCCAGAGGAAAGTCTCAGCTGGCATATAACAATTGATAGATTGCATTAAGAAGTAATGTCCAAATAAACTGGCACAATAAATATAAAAATGATGACATTTGGGTTCACTCTATGACCTGATCACTATATGACTTAAAACTGTGGGTTCACTTTGTCCAGTTACTAATAACCAAATATCATCACTGGATATATTTTATATGATCTGTGAATTAATGAATTTATTCATGCAGTAACTCTTATGTCAACTTCAGGTGTTGCTGAGAACGAGAAAAAAACCAAAGATGTATCCTAGATCCACCTGCAGCTATTACAATGCTTATTTAGCAGTTATGTCTCTTTAAAGCCAGATAGACTGAAAACAGTGTTTACATCAACTCTCTACCACAAAACTTAATGGAATGCTGACACATTGCTAGCACTGTGTTACCACTGAGATACATAAAAAACCATACAAAGCCGGAGTGAAACCCACACCTGGCAGTGTTTGAGACCCGGTGAGATGATGATCTTTGCTGGAATAAGCATGATTATAACTGTAGCTGCTCCTCAGTGCTGGCAGATCCATTTGCACCCTCTGCGAGAATCTTAAGACATTCAGCAAGAGTGCAGGAGGCATCATTCACCAGGACCTTAGCAAAGGCTGCTGCCCTTTCATACACTCTCAACTCTTGCTGGAGCCTCCTCTCTGGGTAAATCAGATGTAAGTATGGCTCTAGAACAGTATCAGTTCCAGATCCAAAAGCTGCAGCTCAACCTCCTCTCTGGGCTACAAGCTCAACACAGATTTTCTAATAGGGACACTAGTTAGGGTATCTGCCTTCCTTCTCTTCTGCTCCTTCCAGATCCTAGCTTTGTTAGGCTTTTAGGTTAGGTTTTAAAATCTGTGTTTGGCATTCTAGGCTCTTTCAGTACTACTTTTTAGATAGCAATATTATTTTAGATAAATGTCATTACCCAGAATGGCCTTAAGGCCTTCTGTTAACTCAGAAAAACATTCCACAGACCAAACACTGAGTCAAGAGGGTTTGGAGGTTTTTTTGCTTATAGTACATTCATTCAATTTGTTATGCTTCTGTTCAGCCTAACCTCAAGTAAACCTTATATAAATAAGGTCATGTTTTCAGTTCCCACAAATATATACAACACACTGCAGACAGAACCAACAAACTACACGCAACCTCCACTGTTTCTTTTATACTCGTGTGATGCACATTTGTACAACATAACTGCAAACACAAAGCACACAGGGATCCATTGGACTTTAGTAAGAGAAGGATCTTCTAATCAGAGTTGAAGCAGTGTCATTGTGCTACCAAGGAGCCTCAGCACAGAGATAACCCTTTCCTCAAGGTGAGCTTTTATGACAACTCTGCATTAGTCTCCTACTCAACAGTAAAGCTCACAGTCCTTGGGCTCTACAAGTGTTCAGCAAAGACAACCAAATGTGAAGAGTACCTGAAATCATAGCCATCCTTTTTCAATTTTGTTTTAAAGTCTTGGTAATTTTTACCTTGTCTTAATGTGTCTGGTGGCAGACTGGATCCTCAAATACACAGTTGGCATAAGGACTAAAGTACAGGAAATCACAGTCATGGCCAGAAGGGACCTCTGGAGGCCTCTAGGCCAAGCCCCTGCTCAAAGCAAGGCCAAGGCTGATGTTAAACCAGGTTGCTCAGGACCTTGTCCTGCTCAGTTGTGAAAATCTCTACAGATGGAGATGTCAGAGCCTCTCTAGGCCACTGTTCTAGTGTTCAACTCCTTTCCCTCATGCCTGGGTAGCTCATACCTCTTTCCATCTTTCCAGCCCTCCCTTTTTGGTGTTTGAGTTCAGAGAAGCACTGCTGGATCAGCCAAGCTGTTCCTCTGTCTGCTAGTTCCAGCTCACCGGATGAGCCAGTTTTTGTTCTGTGAGCATGTTCTCTTTCAGTTTCAATGCACCCTCCTGATTTCCATTGCCCCATCACATGTTCCTGAGACGTCCCGACAAACCAATTTCCTAAACAAGACAAATTATGTTCTTCTAAAGCCCAGAATCTTTATTCTACTGTTTGTCTTCCTTATTTCTCTTGGGGTCTTAGTTCTAAGGTCCTGGAGTCACTAATGCCAAGGCTGTCCTTTACCTGAACATTTCCTGTTTTTTCTTCCTTCCTTCTGTTTTTGAGTAACAAATCCAGCATCTGGGTCAAAAAAGAATGTTCTTGATGACCCAAAAAATTGGTTGGACTGCTTTCACCCCACTGGGTGCTCCTCCAGATAGCAGAGCAATTTTGTATTCCAAAGCAGGCTACATCTGTGAGCTCCTTGTAGTTATTTAAAGCTTCATTTGCTTCCTCTTCCTGATCAGACAATTTATAGAAGGTGCCTGCACAGTGCTCCCCATGCCGATGTCCCCACCAATTTTGACCCATCAGCTCTCAGCTGACTCAATGCTTATTATAATAAGCAGGGGAAAGCTCCAAGCAAATATAAATTGTTTGTGTAGAACACAACTTCCACTCATTTCCCTGCCTGCTTTTCCAGAAAAGCTTGAATCCTCCCTCTCATAATGTGATGTGCCATACTGTCCCTGTGATCCCTAAGAGGTCACAGCCCTGCAACTGTGCTGGTATGTCTAATTCCTCTGGTTTCTTTCTCAAGCTCTATGGGCTGACACACTGTGTTCATGTTCCCTTCCCTGAGCAATCAAATAAGCCTCTTGTAACCTGTTGTCCTTGGCAATTTTGTCCATTCCCAACCTTGCTTTATGTGTCTCTCAGTGACTGTCTCCATCCACACAGGTCCCTCAATGGTGGAATCTCCTTTACTGTAACCTAGAGCTTAAATAATCAATTATCTACAAAATGAACTATTCCCTGTTAGCATGGTCAGCTGTGGAAATAACCAGCAAGAGCACACTCTCTGCATTCCTTGCAAACCCACAAAATTTAAGGCATTATTCTGCTCAAAAACTCAGTGGTGATAAGCCAATATCATTATAGGGAAAAAAATGTTTTGGCTTTTTGTCCTTAGTAACTACAGGAAGATTATTTTCCTTCTCTGTGCTATTTTCAATAGGAATCTACATGTACATTCTCATTTGAGGTGCAGCAGTGTTAAACCACTGCCCATCTGCTGCAGAACTGGCAATCTGCACTGGAGACTTGCATGCTATGAATTCATTTCCTGAACTGTAATTTGAAGGGGTCCTGAATTCTGCTGCAACTCACCGAAACTAGATGTAGAACTAAATAATTTAGACAGACTAGGAAGAACTCATACTGCTCCCAGATTAAATTTTTCTTCATGACCCTGGGTGGGGCTGCCCAGCATCTGTTCCTTCCCTAAGCTGCTGCTCACATGGGCAGTGAAGTGATGCAGAGCAGGGCTGTTACACAGACAGGGCAGGGGAGATGGTCAATCATCCTGGTTATCTGACTGCTTGCAATGCACAGCAGGATGTGTTTTTAAAAAGGTAAAATGCTGACTAAAGCTAAATACTTAATATCTTATTAAATAATAACAGTTGAATAAAATGGGCTCATGGACCTGCTTAATAGTTTGAGGTTAGTTCAGCTTCTTGATTACTCTAGAAAGATACAAGGCAGTACAATTACTGACAGTTTTATAGGTTCTTTGGAGCAGCATCCTACAGTAGTGCAAATGTGCAACTTCTATCTTAGATATTTCTCTGTTATTTTCAGATTATCTGAAATGACAGACACATCTACACCTCAGACCTAACTTTAAATAACTTAATCATGTATGACAATTTCTCAACTTTTTTCAAGTACATAATGCTCCCACAAAGTCAACAACTCAGTTTATCAAGAAAATCTTGGAACAGTTATTATTTAAGATAAATCCAAATTTTCTTTTCTTCTTTTAGCTTATTGTCTTCGAAAAGCTTGATTACTTTGAATTGTATTAACAGAAACACAGTTTCTACATAAGAATTTTGTATTGGGGGCTATTTATTTCTGAGTTTTGAGATTTTATGTACGTCTACATACCTGCTTCCTTTTATGACTGAATTACTAAAGGGCAACATGATTTAATTCAGAATTAGAAATACTGTTTTAAAATACCACCAAGGGTATGTAGAATTAATGAAATATACCTGTCTGAAGCCATTTTAAGAACTACTGATGATAGTACAACTTTCATTAAAATTAAAATGAAAAAGAAGAAATGTTATGCCTGTGAATAACCACTCATGTTGGAATTACATTCTAGGAGAAAATCTGAATTAACGGTGTGGATTTGATAGTTTGAGCAGTCCTGGCCACATGCAGGCACAAAAGAGCGAAGATTCTGTCCATGCATAATCAGGACAAATGTGTGTTCCTAGGATAACCTTTATTTAGTTCTGACAAACTGAGAAGTACAAAAACTTTACTGGTTTTGCATGCAACTGTGTATGGTGGGTAGGTTTATATTCTGGAGAAGCTACTCCATCTCCAATAACCAGTGATAAATAACTTAAAGAATAACAATTTTCAGCTACCCTGAAGTTCCTGAGAGACTAACTGGCAAAAAAAAAAAAAAAAAAAAAAAAGAAAAAGAAAAAAAAAAAAAGTAAAGATATGCACACAGGATGATAAACACAGCTGGAACCTGTGGAGAAACAGATAAAGAGGCCTACAGTGGGTTTTTAGCAAATTTTATAAAACAAGAAACAACAGCGCATACACAAAGAAAAACTTCAAGGGAAAGTCACCTTTAATATCGAAGCATTCAGTGAATACAATCACCAAAGACCCCTCTTAATAAACCTCCAGAACCATAAACTTCCAATAAGAGGTGAATGCATGCACACTAGTTCTAGAAAAATGATATTTATACATTAAATAAGAAGCATGTTTTAATGAATGTGTATAGTTATAATGAAAGCCCTGCTGTAAAGTCTCATTCCAGACACAGAATGAATCCACTGTGTCCTGCACAAGTAAAGAATGCCTGATTTCTAATACTTCAGATTGTGTTAGAAAGTTTAATCCAGCCAGTTTCAATATCATCTGACAAGTCCAGCATTTAGCAACTTTTAATTTTTCTGCACATTTTTCTTGTAAAAATAAAGTGCTGCTGTCAGACCCGTGCAATCCCTGCTGCAGGAATTAGTTCCACAGCAGTCCAGAGAGCGTGACCTGAAAGCCACGGGCGCTGGAGCAGTGGGGACTCCACTTTGGGGGAGAAAACTGCTCCAGCCTCCAGCTCCAAAGCCGGAGCTGACCTGCGCTGCTCTGGGGTGAACACGGCCCATGGCCGGCACAGCATCACATCATCCCTGTTCCGGGGATGCTGTTTATGGTAACAGACTCATTCCAGGACCAACACTCCGAACCTGGAGCGGAGCGGTTCTCGGCTCGGTCACCGAGGGAATCAGAGGTAGGGAGGCCTCAACCAGCGGCCCGGGGCCGGCGCGGGTGTCCCCTCGGTCACCTCGGTGCTCAGCACCACGGGCCGGGGGTGACCGTGGCGCTGCCCCTCCCGACGGGGCCGCGGATGCTCCGCCGGGCCTGGCTCTCCCCTCCTCGTGCCCCGGGCAGTGCGGGCGCCCCGGGCGCTCCGTGAGGGCAGAGCCGGCGCACCGTCCCACCACACCCCGCGGATTCCCCGTCCCGGGCCGCTGCAGCGGGATGGCGCCGGGGCTGCTGGACCTGGTGCACTTGACAACCTGGGCCGTGTGTGCCGTGATCAAGCTGCCGCAGCTGGTGGCGGTGCTGAGGGCCGGCTCGGCGTGGGGACTCAGCGTGAGCAGCCTCCTCCTGGAGTTGGCCGGGTAAGGCGGCGGGGCACACGGGGACTGCGGCGGGAGCAGCGGCTGGAGCCGCGGGTCCCTCGGTGGGGAGTGCGGGGCCCTGGCGCTGCTGCGGCAGCCGGGGATTCATTCCTTCCTCCGCGGCTCAGGTCAGGCGTGAGGGTGCGCTGAGGGGCGGCCTGGGGGTGGCGAGCACGCCCCGCTCCCGCCACATCGCTCCCTTCGGAGCTCAGGACCAGCCCCACCAGCTGAGCCCACAGAGCCTTTCGGGAAGGAACTTCCTGTTTTAGTGATTCCGCTTTGCCATTTAAAGGGAAACTCGTCTTTTTTAACTTGCCCCAAACCATCCCGGATCGTGCATGTCGCTGCATAGAGCAGCTGCAGAGGGTGTAAGCCTGTTTTTAGGTTGTTCAGTGGCCCTGTACCCTGTGGTGCAGGTAGCTGTACTCGTCAGACAGGCTCCCCTCACTCTAACCAGTAAGACTTAAATAATTCCTTAAGAAAATTACAAACCGTGTCAAACTCCAAAGACTTGTGAGCCTGTAATGAGCTTACATGGGCTAGGCTTATTAAGTCTTGCTTAAAGAGGATTGTATGAAACGACAAATAAATAAACTCGGTGTGTGCACGTTCAGGTGTGGGTACAAGTGAGAGAAAGCACCTCGAGGAGCCCTGCCTTGTCCGAGCCCGGGGGTGCCGGTGGGCAGATCATCCCTGCCACTCCCCGCGCCAAGCCAGGAACGGGGGGTTTCATCCAGAAAAATCCCCTCACAAAAACGGCGTGGTGTTTCTGAAGGCGCCTGTGCCGTGTCTCCAGGCAGTGACACAGCTCAGGTTTACAGACACCTCTCTGTGGAGCTGTGCAGAATCCCTCAGCTCCCGCCGTGGCCGCTCCCCGCCCGCCTCTACAGCACTGAACTCGTGTTGCTGCTGTTTACCCTTAACACACCTCGGAGTAAATGAAGCAAATGGGAGTTCCAGCAGAGATTACTGACCCCACAGCCTCAGCCGGAAAGCGGTGACAGCACTTCAATCATTTGTGTGCGTTGGTGTGCATTAAAAAGGGTTTGTAAGTAATGCTTGAGATGAGCATGGAGAAGCTGGAAATGTTTCTTCGGCACCTGCGTGAGAACCACGGTACCCACAATACTACAGGTTCTGGTCTTCTTTGAAACATTTATTGTATTTAGTAGACTGTTTATCCTCCTGCCTTTAAAGACTTTGAATCCAGTTGCAGGTAGCTGTGTGACTACCACTACAAGCTGAGCTGGTTTTGTGCAATCAACATAGAGTAACCCGGTGTGAGGGGTGACACAGAAGCATGGTGCTGGTGGCTAGGAGTCTGATTTGACTCTACATCAAACAGCACTTCTAGGAAGTTCAGATATTTAAATTCTGAATACTGTAAAAGCCAGTTTCTTACAAGGCAGGCTGTTCCTTCTGCCATTTTTCTACACCAGAAACCATAATATTTTTTCTTATGTAAAACTGCTCTGAGTCCTTTCTGTTTTCTATACATCTTTGAATTTTCTGTCTAACCCCATGGACTTGCAGGAGAGGTGGAAGTACAGAAAACATAAAAGTTCAGTTCCTTTTAGGTACTGTATGTGGAATGGCAGGAAGGAAAATTGCCATTGTTTGGTGCACTTAGACGCTTAGTCTGACCAGTAGAGCTACACTGAGTAATCTCATAACAGTATAGTCTAGACAGCTTGGAAGACAAGCTGTCTTCCCCTATAAAACTTGCTTAATGTACAAATTGAACTACAGACATAAGTAAAGAAATCAGAGTTATCCTGGAGATGCCAAGGCTCTTGCAGAGAGAAGTCATGTCCTAGGTCTGGAAGCCTTTATTTCTTTCTCAGCAATTATAATAAATAAAATGATGCCTTACAGACTGTGACATAAAGACCTCGACGAGAAGTGTGGGCAGTGAGGGTAACAGAAATAGATTAGAGAATGATCAGGCTTGCTCTGAGTGCCTGTGTTTTGTTTGATCGGTCTGATAGCAAGGGCTACACCTATCTGGAGCCTTTTGGCAGCACCAAAACAGTATAAAAGTTGTGAAGGCATTTGTGTCCCTCTGTGCAATCATGTTTTGTATCTCTCTGTTCAGCCTCCTTGTGTTTCTGAGGTACCAGATCTATTATGGTTACCCCCTGGAGACATACCTGGAGTTTCCAGTCGTCATTGCACAAGGTAATTTTTGTAAACCGTGTTTTGGAAATGAAATGGGACTCATTCAGCACTCCAAGTCTCTGCTTGTAGGTACAGTGCTTCACTGCAGTGATGCTGGAGTTGGGGAGAAGAGGGAATTAACATCTCATCTAAAACGGAATTATTTTAAATGCCATTGAAAAAGATGGTCAGGTGGAGGAGAAAAACCTAATTATTACACAGAGTCACAGATGTAAACTCATACTTTTGTCTGGTTTCTCCACATGGGAGAGAAACATACTAAACACTCCAGAGTCTAAGAAAAGCTTCGTTTTGGAGCTTGCAGTATTTTGGTCATCAATCACATTTGAGAGACAAAAGCTGTAAAAAAGGAGTTTCTACAGATCAGTGCCCAGTGGAACTGTCTAGGATTGTGTTTGGGCCCCTTCAGTCCTTTCTGTGAGGAGCCATCTTTTGTTTATTGCAGATGCCATTCTCCTGGGCTGTATTATGCATTTCAGTGGAAAAGTGAGACGAGCTTTTTTCTACGCAGTGGTGTATCCTTTGAAATCTGGGAGGTTTGGTTTTTGTGGCTTGTTTGGTAGTTCATTGCATAGCAGCTATGTCATAATTTCTTGTGTGCTATTATTGTAAATCATTCTCAGGCACCCCTCAACATGTATTCCACATTCACATGCTGATTTCTGGGATCACAGTAAAACCTCTGCAGGAAGTAAGCTTTATATGTTTGCTCTGCTTTAGAAGGCTCCCAACTGATAAACAGTAAACTAAATTCTTAATTTACATCTTTTCTACAGGGATGCAGAGTAGAAATGACAGAGATTTTTTAATTATTTTTTTTTTTAATTCCTGCCCACGGAGGTTGTAATTACTGCAATAAAGACAGCACTGTTTGGGGTTTTTTTCTAAATAGGACTTGGGTTAAAATCTCAAATCTTGTGTTTGGAGCAGGTTTTGAGAAACTCCAGACACTATTTGACCAAAAACTATGTGAAAAATAGGAACGCTTAGTGTTTCAACCAGTTCTTAATATGTTTTATCTCGATTGTATAGTCTGTTTAAAAGTTTCAATAAGATTATTTCCAAATGTTTAAAAAAATCTTATTCCTCGGGCAGTTTTGAAAACTTTGTATCCTACAATTTAAGTGCTATGAAACTTAATGTAATATAAGATTTTGGGTGGGCTGGTACATGCTAACACTGCAGAAGTGTATAATAGACCTGGCCATGGTAAGTGCTACATGATTATCTGAAATCAGATCTTCACATGAAATGACTTTTTTTTCTGGACGTATTTATTACTGGACTTTCTCCTATATATATGTCCTTGGAAGAATTCATCATTTTGGTTAGCTTTCAGAATAACCAGCCAGTTTTCAGATACAGGTTCTTTCTTTTGCGAGTAGCTGGAAAACAGCACCGAAAATAGAGACTCTATGGGGGGAGAAAAGGCATGTTCTGAGATAAGTTGTTACTTGGTGGGGCCTTAATTAAAACTAGCAAATACTTAAAATGTTGAAATTCTATTGCCACTTTAGTCCTAGTGTGATAATCCAACCAATAAACCTTTAACACAAGAGGAAGAGAATAGAGCCTCAAAGCGTTTGAGACTGGGATTGTGACATAATTCTTTTTTCCCCTTGTCATACAATTTTGCAAGAAAAATACAATCTGATAATGCATACAAAGATTAAAGATGGTCTTTTCTTAGCAGGAGAGAGAAAGTTAAAAAGTAATTGAGATGAACAGGATCTGCTAATGCAAAAGATGATACAGATGGGGAGAAAAGCTTCCAAGCCCTACACTGATCCTTACTTGCAGCAGAAATCCAGGCATGTCACAAAGGCCTGTGTCGTGGAGTCCTCTCTACCTGCCTTTGCAAAATCCCCTTTAAAAGGGGGACTGAGTGAATAGTGCATTCCTGTTACTATTTTTTCCCTCCAATTGGACTAATTTTCCACACATTCTTGTCAGTTTTCTCATTCCTTTATGGTTTGGTTTGCCAGACGTAATGGTAACAGATGGTCTGAATCAACCTTGCTGTTTAGACTAGGTCAGTCTCATTTTAGCTGATTTTTATAAACAGTTTTATGGAGCAGGTTGAGAAACTTTTTTTGTTTCTTTGCTTCTTACTGCATTTGCCTCTGTCAAACATTTGTCAACAACAGTAGCAACTGTGCTCTCTGAGCTTCTTGCTGGGCAGTACCTCAGAAATGAGTCCTTGTTTCTGGCAACTTCCAGTTTTTGCTTCACTGCTCCTTACTAAGAAGCCAAAGCATTTGGGTTGCCAAGTACTGGGAAAGTGCCAATTTTTTTTTTTATTCTAAATGAAAAGCTAGACCTATTCAGCTAATACCATGGCAGAGGCGGAGGTTCTCTCTCTTTTTCACCTGCTTTTCAGAATCTGTGCACGCTCATCAGTGCAGCCAGTAAGCTGGTTCAACTGCAGCATCTCTGGGAGACAAAAGATTCCGGACAAGCGAGCGCCCTGACCTGGGGCATGTCTGTGTACGCCTCTGCAAGTAAGCTATGGACAACTTGGTGTGAACTACTGAGTTCTCCTAATTCCTTTTCTCATAGGTCTTTACTCAATCATAGTAGGTAAAGGTCTTGCCTTAGTTTCCCTCAGTGCTGACGCCTGGGACTCAGATAACACACAGTCTCCTGAAAACAAGTTTTATCTTTGACACCAATGATAAAAACCAATGACTTAAAGTGTGAATATGACCAAGGGAACTGGAATTGAAATAACTGAAAGGCTGTCTTTATGAGGAAAATTTTTCCATGTTCTATGATTTAATAAAGTTACTAGTGGTCCAGCATGAAAAGGTGCTAAAATTTCAGGTATACAGTCAAACAATGCTAATTTTGAAAAGCTGTCTACAAATAAATACACACTTAATGATAAATACCTTTAACTCTATGGGTACTTGTAATTACACTTCTTGACAGAATTCATGAACAGTCTTTTGTGGAGTTCCTGTGGCGATTCCCCAGTGGTCTGCATGAACAGCTGTTTGTCAGAAGTGCCTTTTGCATCTTCACAAAACTTATTTAAAATATTCTTACTATAAAACTCATCATCCAGTGATGCTGGATCTATTTCTACATGAAAAAAAAATCAGTAATTAGAAGTTGTGGTGAACAGTGACAGTAAACTTTGTAAATGCTTTTACTCTGCTGCAAGTGTGAAATAATTAACATTTAGGTTCCTTGTGTGAAGTGAAGCTGAATCCCTTGTATTTGCAAAATGTGAAGGCGCATACATGAACATTCCCAGTGGTTAATTCATGCTGACTTAACTGTGGGAGTAGCTCACTGTCAGCTCCTGAAGGAGGGGCTGAACAGAAAGAAAAGCAATAAACTGACCACATCCAATCTAGCATGATGGATGTAAAAATTCTAATTATATCTGTGATTTTCTCATTTAAAAATCCCCTTAATATATTGTCAGTCAGCTTTGAGAGCTTGATCTCTGAAGCCAAAATAGTGAAGAGTGGACACACTAAAAGTAGGAATATGTACAGTATATATTTTCATGCAAGATTATCTTCTGTTGAAAAACAGATATTTCACAATTTTTCTAAAGTATGTGTCCTATGTGTTCCACTAATCAGAATTCATTCAATTTACAGCAAGAATCATTACAACTCTAATGACTACAAATGATCGCGCAGGTGAGTGAAGTATGGAATTCTCTGCCTTTCCAAGGGAACAGCTGCCACAGTGGTTTTTAGTTGTTTTGTAAAACATGTAGAAAGTCTCACAAGAACAAACCATGAACGTGACAGGTTACCATGGTAGGGCAGGAGTTACACAGGATTAGAAATCAGGCAAAGACATCAAGAAAAAAAAAAGCCAGAAAACTGCTTACACTTGTCATGTGGTGCAACTGATCCAAAAGACTTTTTTTTTTTTTCAAATGGCAAAAGCACCACAAAATTAATTCTGAAAATAGCAGAATAAAGTATTAAAATATTTACTATTTTAAGAAATAAATAAATGTAGTAAAATACAACTTTAAAAATCCTGTAGTAATTGAATGAGATTTTCAAGTAATAAGTATTTCACTTATTGACAGCTTTTTGAATTAAAAAATTCTTCTAGAAAACTAAAGTTCAGCTTAGTATGTGAACAGTTTTAGGTCCAACATTCAGAAAATTTATGACAGGCTGAAAATGAAATGGTAGGCTGGTAAGAAATTTTCAAAAACTGACTTAAAATATATAATTTCCAGCAAATTATAAAGCAGATTTATATAACAGCTTCTTACTGTCCTCCTGAGAGAACCACAAGAGCTAGGGAGTGTCACAGATTTTTCAGTCAATTGTTCAAAATCAAGGCTTGATGGATGCAAGAACAAGTAACAATCCCTTTGTACTTTGTCTGTTGGTTCCTTGTTCTCGTTCAAAACTGTTTCATCAGAAACATCACTTGAATGGATTTTGTAATTTTTAAGCAGCCTCTGCAGCCCAGTAAAGCTGTAGCTGTGCAAGCATTTCAAGTGGGTCTTTCACTGGAAAAGGAAGTCCCATTTCTGGCCCACACTTCCACCCCCATGCTTGCAGCTTTTTCTTTGCCAAGGTAAGGGGTCTGTGGGGCTTGCAGTTAACTGGTCACCAAAGATTAGGCAAAATGCTCATGTAGGGATTTGTCAGGCTCAGGTACTGAGTCCACATCACCCACAGCTACATATTTACACTGAGGGGAAGGGAGGGGTTCACTGGGGAGGGAGGAAACAGCAGGAAAGCAAAGCTGGCGCTGGGTAAAGCTGCTGTTTGAAACACAGCACCATCCACTGTGGCACATGGGAGGGCCAGCAGCAAACACTGATGCTGTGCTGCTCTAATGGAAAATGTTTCCAATTCAGTTGCAACACTGAACACATTGACACAGTCAGATATCACATAGTTCTGAAACAAAGTTTTGTGTACCTTTCTGTGAATATTCCACCTACCAAATGGACATCAGACATACCTATCAGACATACCTACTTTAAATACCTCATCACAGGTAGAGGTACTATGCTGTTATGGTTTTGAAGCTGAGTTAACTTAGGTACTGAAAAACTGCTTTTTTGTCAGCTGTCAGATTTTCTGTCATTAAAGTCTGACAGATACAAGTATCTCCTGTCTTCTCAAAGTCTAAACTTAAGACATAGCAGTAGAGAGTAGTTCCTTTATTATAAATAACACATACAACTATAAAAGACATGTGAGCTGTAAATTTAGCTTTTGGTGTACATATAAATTTATATGAGGCTTCTCATGCTTGTACTATTCTCCAGGTTACAAAAGAATTAAAGGTACTGGAGTTTATAATTTTGAGCTATCTCTGAAAGTGATCAAGTGCTAAATGCTGTTTTCTCTTGGATTCATGCTCAGAATGTGTGGGTTCCTGAACATGGTAATTGAAACTAATTGTCTGAAAACAGTTTCCAAATGTGAACCAGCCTGTGTGTACACAAGCAAAAGTGTACAAACCAGTTGTAACAGCAGTTGGTTTTTTTGATTCATGCTTACAATATTTTTTTTTCTCTTTTAGTTCTCATCCGTTTCATAGTCATGCTCATTCTCAATATTTGGGTCACAGCCACAATCCTGCACTACAGGAAGACTAAAAAGACTGATTAGACAACACTCATCAGCACACATATCATTACCATAAAAAATATAATTAAGCCTAAAGAATTTAAGAATTCTTCAAAGATTGAGGAAGCTCTCTTTCTCTAATATTTACCCTTTAGCGTACTTATAGTATTTACAGTACTTACAGACTTATAGTACATTCATGCTTACTTTCTCTTAGAAATAATTCTGATAAGATACTTAATTTAAGCAGCATATTTTTATTGGTCATTTCAGACAAGTCTCACTGATATCACATTTTCTCTGGATTTTTTTTACTACAAGGTATTTCATAGTTAGATGTATATATATTCTGGTATCACTTCAGTACTTTCTGGTTACATATAAGCAATTTTCTTCAATTATACATGATCAATTTTGCACCAACATACTGACTTGTCCTGCTGCAAGACTAAAAAATCACAACAGAAGTTTGTCTTCTTCTTGCAAGCAACTGAATTAGTTCAACATTAACTGTCTGTATTTTAGGATGAAGAAAATCTCAGTCAAGGCCCAATCCAGAATAAGGTTCTAATTACTAAATCACAAATCCAGTTGGGATTGTAGCACTTACATGCAACACTTAAATAGTACAATTTATACAGCTGATACAGGATACCCATAGTCACTTTCCTCAGTATACCCATTTTTTTATTGGATAAGAGAGCAAAAACTCAACTACGAATTATTTTTCGTAACCTGAGCTCTCATTCACTGAACATACTTCACTGAACAGCAGGGACTACAATGTATGGGAATTAATGAAACTGTGGCCAACAGTTAAAAATGCTGTTCAAGCAGAAGTTCCTGGAATGATACCCAGAATTTCCAAACACCATCCATACTGACAGTGACATGTGCACCTTGATGCATCTCAGCAGACTGATCTCCTGTGGTTGTCAGGTTTTGGTGATAGTGCTCTGTGGTTCATGAATTTTTGGCCTGTCAGTGCTAAGTGTGTTGAAGAACATAGACTTCACTTAAACTTTTACTTCAGAAATTCTAATCAATTTGTAGTACTTAGAGTAAAAAGGGGGAAAGGTTATTCTTGACAACTATTAACAGAGGATTTTGGTTTTGGAAGTACTGCCTTCACAACCAAAAGTTACATTAGTAATCATATAGCTTGCCTTCATTTATCATTACATTCCCCAAAATTAAAATTTACAACATTCCAAGAGTTCTTACGGTATTCTGTGATTGGCATGTAAAAACCTAGGCACCCTTGATCCCAACACCCTTGAAAACTATGGGAAGACTGCATTGACTTCATTTGAGGCAGGTTTTCATCGCAACATTCTAAATTGTGTGACTGCTCTGGAGCAAAGGGATCTGGAAAGCAGATGTTCCTGCCAGTGAGCACGCAGCAATTGGAGCATTCACCATCAGAAAACAGCTGCTTCATACTCTAAATTTTACAGGGAAGGGCTGGGAAAAGATGGGTCTGTGGGAATTGATTTCATGTATCCCACGTTACTGAGAGCAAGTCAAAGATGAGATTTTTTTTACTGCTCCAATAAAAAGTCTAAATCTTTCTGTGTTGGTTGAAAGATTAATTGTAAACATTCTGATTTTATTAAAGCTGTGTAAAGTATCTGAAGTGGTCTAAACAGTGGTAGGTGGCATGTGATACATTTTCCAGGTGATACGAATAAATGTTATTCTTCAAGATTGATAGTGTCATTCTTACAGTTAATTTTCATTGCATTTGAGTTTTTATTGTTTCCATATATGGAGAGAAAATGAAATATTCATTACAGGTCATAAATGGGCAGCTTTCACCTTAACACTTGAAGCATCAGGCTGAATATTGACCTGCCAAATACTACAGAGCTCCAGCATCTTAAAATGAAAAAAACACACTTGCTTTTTAATTAAAGCCTTTTCTTGATAGAGAAAGATTTGTATTGAATCCAAACCCTCTCTGTTATTGATATCTTTCACACTCCTGAATGATGCTGTAGCAAGATGAAGCTGCTCCATTTTTGGTTTGAGAATCAGCACCTCAAGATGGTTTTTTATCATAAAATACTGAAAATGCATTTAAGAACAGTTTTTAATAGGTTACTTAATGCATTTTAATAAATCACCTTAGAAACCTGTGGGAAAAAAAGATTGAGGAAAACAAAGGTGGGTAATTAATGAACTTAAGGTAAAGTAATTTTGTGGACTTGGAAAGCTGGACCATGAGTTCTCATTCAAGCTGCAAGAGATATGGAACAAATCAGGAACTAGCAGTAAATAGTTTTACACACTTTTTCCTCTCTCAGAGAGTAACTTCTTTCACTTTCATAAACAGAGGCACATTCAAATTCCAGGCAAGCCCCATGAAAGCGCAGACACTGTGTTTTCCAGTAGGTAAAGAATAATCTTCTCAGTGGCTGGATTAAAGGCAACAGCTTTAGACAAATACATAGGCAGGATAAATCTTGTTAAACTCTCATTCACCAGTATCGGGGTGGAAACAGGGAGGTCACTTGCTGTGTAATGCAGCAGCAGGGCAAAAGCAAGCAGGGAAAGCATCTTGGATTTATGGCAGAAGGTGTAAGCAAGTAAGCAGCTCTTGTCTACAGGGCTGTAACTAATCCAACTCCATTCACAGATGCTGTATAGGTGTGGAATTACACACTCGGTGTCTAATTGTACCAGTTCACAACATGCTCACAAGGTAACACACCCTGTCCTGCCCTGGCTGACAAAGAGTATGTCTTGCTGGGGCTTTCAAAAACTTTGAGTCTTCTTGTCTGTGAGAAGACAAGCTCTGAGTACCAGTACAGTCCACTAAATAACCCCAAGTACCTCCAGCAGCGGCTATGACGAACTGTGACTGGATTTGGCAGCAGGTAAGCTAGAAGCTCACTCAGCTGTATGAGAGAGAAAACATTTACCATGAGATTCGCTATCGAAAGGATGAGGATGAGTCCAGGGACAGCAGGCTGCAGGCCTGGACGTGGATGTGGACAGTGGAAGATGTGTATAGTTTATTTTTTCTGCCCTGTCCTCAGTGAACAGAGCACTGAACACAAATGCAGAACCATCCTCTCCCCACCCTATGGCCTCCCTTAGCACTGGGCATTCTGTGCAAAGCGGACACAGCTGTCTTTCCTTGTGCTGCTCCAATCCAGCAAGGGATGCGATTGCTGGGACTGCTCAGGAGTCCCTGTCCCTGCCTGACCCCTGAGCCTGTCTACACTGTGCACGTGGCTGCTCCCGATCCTGGCTCTGCTCACCTGATCTACTGAAACACGAGAGAACGGAGTGGGGTGGGGAGGCAGTGACAGCCCCCAACTGCTGCAGATTGAGAGCTGGATTTTAGTGCAGTTTGACTCTGGAGAAAGTAATTCAGAATTAGCTGAATGGCACCGATCTTGTAGAACACCTTCACTTACTTCTTTAAATGAGGTAAAATTACTCTTCCTCCACCAAACAATCATCCATTTAGTGACATATGTAATAAGGGGAAAATAAAAAAAAGGGAAATAACAGTGGAGTCCACACAAAGAACTATTATAAATTAAAAACTCCACAGATGTGGAGATAACTGAAATGAGGTAGTTTCCCAGCCATGTATTTTCCCTGATGATAAATAATAATGACTTCCCTCCAAATATCTCTTCAGACTGGTTTTTCCACTCTCTTCCAAATTCTTCCATACTTGAAATTCATATTTATGTATGAAGCAGAACATGAAATGTCACCTTCACAATAATGGTCTAAGGATGTCTCACTTTTGAAGGTGAGGAAGCTGAAAAAAAATCTTAAAATAGGATGTTCTAAAGTTCTTGGTTTGCACTAAATTTAATTTGCTGGATTTTGAGCCAGGGTTCTCCAGGACACTTCAGAGTTCTCGGTGATGACAACTGTTGATGTCAAACAGGTGCCTGGGAGCCACAGAGAACATCACTGTAAGAATCTGACAGATCATCACTTGTTATGGATCCAATTACAAGACCCTGCCAGCCTCACAGACCTGAGTCCTGATGGACCTCAGGTGTTTCCTGCCTAATGGCAAGAGAGACATACAGACATTTTCAAGTTAAAAGTGTCAGCTATTCCATTCTACATGGGCAGCAGTTTGGGGCAACCATCTCTGTCTTGGAAAAAAATTCAATCTTTGGGTCAGGGGTAAAACAAGATATTTTTACATAATAGTTTTGATGAAATTTAATTTTGGATACCTGAAGAACAGTTTAAATAATTGTCACAATTTTGTTCGTACCCTATTTTGTTTCATTATTTCATCTTACAAATTTCTTAAATTGTCAGAAGCCTAAACAGGTACCTCTGTGCATTATGTGGTATCACTGACTCACAGGGAGGGAGCTTTAAGAGGGCAGACACCTTGTTTTATCTGTCAAGTGTTCTGGAAAATGATGTAAAGGACAGAACCTGCACCAGCCTCAAATGTGACAAGTTAAGTTGGCTAATGATAATTCTCATTCAAACTCTGTAGTAACATGGCTCCATGCTGAAAATCAATTCTATTTACTACCTTACTATAATTGCAAGTCACTGCTCTGGAATGTACAAGATTTCTGCTTTGGAATGGGAAGGCTTTGGCCAGCAGTACCAAGACTCATACTATATGAAAATCATAAATGGAATAACACACATCCTATGCCTCAGTGTTGCCTCTATCAGGTAAATCCTAATGTAGCACTAATTGAGCTTCTATAAAACGTATTTTAAATAATTACTGGAGAGAATTTTTTTTTTACCTTTGAACAACTGACTATATACAGATCCTGTAGAATTGTCTTTCAAGAGTCTGACTTGAGATTTATTTTTTTCCCCCCTGTGAATTGCACTGTCAGCACAACTTACAGTCCTCATGGACTCTCTGAGCTTGTGGGTACTTTACTCTCTCAGCCTTGTTGGTTTTTTTTTTTTAGTTGGCACAAATGCCCACCTTCCAGTAATACAACTCCCACTGCTGTAGTTTAGAACAAATCTGACAGGGGAGCCTCCTGCCATGGCTCTGGATTGGACTAAAGGCTACACAGATCCTACTGAGTCTCAGTGGCCCCCAGGACACAGGGATTGTAATATGCTGGAAAACATCACACAGATACATGAGACCATGGGATCCAGCAAGCAGATTCAAGTCCTGAAGCTGCAGCCAGACCTGCACCCAGCTGTAAGACCTGCTCCAAGAGCCCACCAGAAAATGGAGCAGTTGAGGTCAGAGACAGTGCAAGACGAGCCAATATGAAACAGGGCTCAGAGCTCAGGTGGGGTACCCAGCTCCTTCAGTCCTAAAAAGATTAAGGGATTTAATATCTCAGGTAACTCCAAAAAAAGTATTTACCGGTTAACTTGTTAATAAAAAGTAGAACATAGTGAAGGCAATTCAGTGCCCAAAGTCTAAGCAGTTGGTGATCCAAAGGACAAGAGGACTGGCTGTGATCTCAGAAGCCTGGTGTACTTATCGCTGGATAGCCATGCTTATCAAGTGGTGCAAGAGCATCCTGGGCAAAAACCACCCCAAACAGTAATGAAAAATGACAAGAACTACATGACATGAGGCCCACAGGGACAATATAAGACTATGCGTAGAAGCAGCCACACATCTCTGAACAAACACTGAAGGCCTCAACCTTAAAATGAAGTGGTAGGACTGAAGCATCCCATGCAGTTGTCTTGGCTGTGGAAGCATTTCTGTGCAGCTCCTCCAACAAGTAAGGGCTGCAGGGACATGACATTATTGGACTCCCTGCCCTTTCTTTTCAGGGTGATGATGTGTCTTTCCAGAGTTCTTTAAGGTATCAGGACTACATACACTTATAATTGAAATTTCATGATCTTTCACCATGACTTTCATTTTGAAAGATCACTTTAATCTTGCAGCTTCTACAAAATTATTGGAGCAAAAGCAGCTGCAGTCAAATCCAAGGCTTCACCCTTGCAATATCAAGATGTGGCTTTCTTACCTTTATAAAACACTGCTTCCTGTCTACAAAGTGGCAAAGATACCAAACTCCAATTTTCATTAATAAGACCTGGTAATTAGCATCCCTGTGCCAATACATTATTTTCTCTACATCCCCACTTCTTAAGAGCTATGTTTCTACAGCAACAGCTTTTCCATCCACTGCAATAGTTTCTTGGGAGAACTAAGCTGGATGTGTTTTGAGTGTTCTTCTCTGCCACACACATTGCAGTAGACTTGTCTAATTTCTCAGATAAGAATGTCTGGATATATACACCTGTCCAATTTTTAGGCAACTTCAACATCGAACACAAATTGTATTTTCAGAACCACTCCATCAACATCTTTTATAGAGATTAGAAAAAAAAATCCTTCCCACCCTCATGAGGGATACTTCAAAGCAGCAGGGAAACCCTATGATCCTTGGAATTCTGATAGAAACCTAAATGATTCAGAAGATTATCTTAAAAAATAAGAAATAATGTTTTCAATTTAAAGTGTACTATGTGCAGAGATGATCATTTGTAAAAAACTGTAATGCACTGAAAAAGGCACCAAGCCTGTCAGAGGTGGTCAAGGAGTGTCTAGATCATGCTTTTAGTCACATGGTTTAGTTTTAGGTAGTTCTGTGAGGAGCAGAGTGTTGGACTAGATGATCCTTATAGGTCCCTTCCAACTTGATATACTCTATGATTACATGAAAAAATAAATTAATCATTATCTTAACATGAATGTCAAGG